AAGCATAAACCGTTTCTACTTGCAGTGTCTGTATTGGGCTCTCTGGGCTGGAAACAGAATCGCATGTTCCCACAGTGGCACACAAACTGACTGCAACACTGCCAACTAAAACGTAGTGCAAGCAGAGCAGTGTAGGTGTATCGGATGAGAGGCTTCTTATTTTTCTGAGGGATGGTCCCATTCACTCTGAGGTCACCAGGCTGCAGCTGGAGGAGTGCTGGTCATCACCCTGACATATAAAAGTGACCCTTCTGACAGGTGGGTTTTGGATGCTTGCTCCTCACACTGAGGTGAAGTGTCCCCATGAGCAGAGGGATAAATGTACCACTTCAAGCTCTTCTGGGAAGGTCTAGATCTGAATTTCAGCTTCTCTGTTCACTTCACTGCAATTCACTTATTCAGCAGTAGTTTCCTACCTGTTGATTGCGATATGAAAATGGTAAGCAGAAGAATACTTCTTTTTTTTACCTACCTTTCTGTTTCCTCCCCCACCTCTTACTCATCTGAACCCTGAAACAATATTTAGCAGCATTTTAAATTCCACAAACATTCTGCAGCTTCCTTTCAATGACACGATAACCGCTAACCACTTAATTACAGGGTGATGACTATGCTGTGGTGTGGCTGGGTAATTACAGGGCATTTGTGGTTTATCATAACAGGGTTATTCCTCTCCCCTGGATGGCAGTACAGGTTACCCTTTGGGATCTCCTAAAGTTAATTGCATGCTAATCCACAGCAGCTTGCTAATACTCTATGGTTATGTATCTGGACTCTTGAGGCCTACCAAATTGTTTTTATTGATACAGTACTGGACAAGCTAAATGGCTGTGCAGTTTATGGAAAGTTTGCAGACTTTCTGTACTTGCAGATCCCACGTATTGCCCAGCCCTTAACACGAGCAGAGTGTCCTCTGTCCGCAGCATCACGGGACTGTCTTGCATTGCTCCCTGTACCCCTTGGGGGAAGCCTGGACCAGGGTGCTGCAAGCATTACTCTTGTCAGTACAATTCATTACCAATAGTCTGTCTTGCTGGTCCTCAGACGTTAATTCTCTGCTTTGTTTCATGCCTTGGAGCATGCTCTGTGACCCAGATAGGCCTCAGGGGGACCCAAGTGTGTTTGGGGGGAATAATGCATGCGGTAACTAAACACCTTAACGATGTCCTTGGGCAGCCTGAAGTCCAGGTGAGCACAGGCCCAGTTTTCACAGCTGTTTGCCAAGGCTTTTGTCCTTCTTAATCGTCCTATAAATCTACAGTTCAGTGAGAGCCATCTTGTCTTGCGGTGTTACTCCTATAAGGATATTTTAGATTAAATGTTTTTGTCTGTTCATCTTTTAAAACAGGTAAAATACATTATAGAGAAAAACAGTCACAAAGTCACTGCAGATCAAGTAAGTGTAGGACTTTGTCTTCTGTCCGATGATATGAGAAAAAAATCCACCACAAAATTTGTGACAGTGGGTCCACAGAGTACCCACCCTACTGGTAGCACCTAAATCCAACTGAATTTTTTCTTTCAGTCTACTTCGGCTGAATGTCAACCTTTGGGGACTGGTGTGTAAGGTCCATGCATCGCTTGACTCTTCAGCAAGCCCTGCTTTGAACAGCTGAGTGGTACCAATCTGGGTGATGGGATCCAACCTGAATCCCATGCAGATGTGCTGCAGCTGAGGCAAAGAGTGTGAAAATGAAACATTTTTGTCATCTCTTTCATATTTTTTCCCTTTTTCCCTTCCTCAACTCTCCCATGCTCGCTGCCTTTCTCTGTTGGACAGCCTTCTGTCATACCTACAGTAGTTAGGTATTTGAACTTTTCAAACTACGGGTTCAGTCTCCTTTGGGATCAACACAGAAGAGCCTAGCTTAGCTTTTAGGTACAAAAAATAATGTAAATACCGCAAAGTAATGCACTGAAGAGGCTGGTAGATACTGTTTCCTTAACACTGATGTCCAAAAAACATGTCCCCACTTCAAATAGTTTGGGGAGTATCACAGCAGTTCAGGGTGCTCAGCCCTAGCTCCTTGCCATGACCAGGGAGCACGTGTGGAGTTCAGACAGAAGGTTGATGATGTGAGAAAAATAATATGCCCGTTTCCTCACCCTAGAGCTACCATCTCAGTGCTGTCTCACTGTAATTTATTTGCGTGGTAGCCTCCTCCAGGACTTACCTGGACCTCTTGCTTCCCTCTGTATGGTTAATGGCCGCAGAGGGGACTGTTGCCCAAAGGTTTCTAGGCATCCCCAGCAGCCAAGCCTGCCAGACTGCCAGTCTAACTGGGAGGGTGAGTAAAGCGCAGGTTGACTGAACTGCTGCAGAACACAGTGCAGGTGCTACATGTCATGCCGAGCATCTTCTCCACCTAGCAGCAAATATAACCCAAAGCTTTTAAGATGTATTACTTTTCCTGATCAACCTCTTAAAAAAGCAAAGGCGACTTCTTTCAAACATGGTATGCAGTCAGAAATATCTTTTGCTCCAGACCAAAATAAATTGTTGTCTCTAGGAGAAATTTTGTTTTCTCAAACATGTTTGCTACCAAGCAGTATATTGCTGATATAAAATAGGCACGCACTATGTGGTAAGCCATGTTTGTGAAGATGATACCCCTCTGCTGAATGCAGAATGATTACATTTTGAAGCAATGTTTTTTCCGGAGCTGGGGTCATCTCGTTAGCCTCTGGATTGTAACATGTTGAATAATTTTGAACGGTCTCTCCTTTAGAGAAGACACAAACCCTCCAAATCCCAGCCTACTCTTGAAGTGTCTCCTCCTTCGCCATCCCAGCACAGAAGGCAATACCTGCCCAGGCTGGGAGGAACTCCTGATCAGGGGAAGGGAAGAGTGGCTCCCTATTCGATGTGTTTAGTTACAGGTGATACAGAAACAATGTCTGTAGCCTGAAATGACGATAGAGGAGTGTTGAGTAGCCATGGACGTCAGATGCAGGAGCATAGGCTGGGGTAAGGCTTCCTCTGGCTGCAAAGCTACCGGTGGGTTTGTAGGCATAGGCAGGCATGTACATTCCGGCTGCTGCATGGTTGCATGCTTTGTGTCCTGCTCAGGGAACCTGTAGCTAAGATCCAATGAGCCAGCTGGCTGTATCTGCTCCGTGGGGTTGGGGAGCCAAAAGACACTGCAGTTCTGGTGTGAGAGCAACAGTGGGAAGGCTAAAGTTCCTCAGGTCCTGCCCACCACCTCTGTTTGCACAGGCATTTCTGAGTTTGTGAAACAACATGAAAATGCTTTGAATTGCATCCATTTGTAGCTGTAGATGTTGCAGCAAATCCTGGAACAGGGAGGAAATGTGGCGGTATAGGCAGCGTGCAGCTATCAAATGGATCAATAGCGTAGATATATAGATGAAATTTAATGTATCTCTACACACATTTGTCATAGTGTCAGGTGAAACTGCGTGTGTAATGATAGCATGCCTTAGGAAAAGGTCAAGGCTAGATACGATAACCAAGAGGTTTAGGGTGAGTGTATTCTGTCCAGTTCTCTGCTGCCCACCACATTGTCTCCATGTCACTGCAACTTGTACAAAATGACTGTGAAACGCGTGGTAGATTTTGCCGTTCCTTTTGCCCAAATGTGAGATGTGAAGCAGAGAGCAGCCAGGTTTTGTGGCCTTTAAATTATACAAAATTTAAAAAATCCAACCCCACCCAACTCCCGCCCCCCAAAAAATCCCCCAAACGTCAGCACTGATTTGAAGAGAAGAACCTGCTTTAGAAAACGTGTTTACATGTTCCACAATGACTAGTGCTGATTTCCCCCTCACCTAAATTTTGAACAGCATTGCAAAAGAAAGCCAATATTTCTGTGCAGCAAAAAGCAGTTCCTATGGAAAATACAGTAAATAAATCTGGACATCTCCAAGCTGCAAATAATCTTGTGTGTATGGTGATTGGGAACAGCAGAGCTCACTTTTGTGTACAATGATAAGTATGGAGAACTTTAATGTTTATGTAAGAAAAACTGTCTTTAGGTGAGGCCTGTACCAGGAAAATGACTAAAATTCAGGATACCTGTTTTGGATAACTGCGTTGTTGATTCATTAGGTAAACTACTTTGCTTAGCACTATCGCTGCAAGACGAACTGCAGTCTTACTTGTAATGAATATGAAGCTGAAAGCAGATGCTCCAATTTGTGCTTTTTTCAGCATGCTTGTTGTTTCTAAAACAATGCAGAACCACAGCAGAAGTGAAATTTGGAAGATCACAGACTCGAGGGAAACTTTCAGTGCAATTTGCACTTTTAGATCTGCAAGGGATTCATTGTCTTGCCCGGGCAACTAATCACTTGCAGCATCAGTGGTTCAACTGCAGATCTGTACCGCCAAGAACAGTGCTCGCAGAATTGACACGCCGTCAGGTGATTTACAGGCAATGCTGCCAGATGATGCTGCGCATCCGAGACCAGACTTGAGGTCGCGGGCAGCAGAATCAGGCTGGCAGGCCTCAGGGCCCCGTGCAAGTGCCCGCACATCTGTCTGCCCAGCGCTCTTCTTTGGTGCACAGGCCCCCAGGCAGAGAGGGGCGTGTGAAACCATGCAGCACTGTAGAAAGTGAATGAGTGGTTTTTACCAGGTTCGTGCAGTCGCTATGTGTTTTGACCTGTCAGGAGTTGTTTCAGAACAAGTGTACCTTTTTTTCTTTCTTTTTTTTTTTTTTTTTTCTGCCTAAACTGTGAATTCCATATCAGGTACTAACAAACATGGCTCATCTCAAAAGAATTCATGATTAACTAAAAGAATTCATAATTAACTTCCACTGCAATTTGTTTGGGTCTTTCTTTACGTAAGGTATAAGCTCTGGTGGGAATTTGAAATGCTCTGAAGCATACACTGTCTTCTGTGTAACTGCTGCTGAGCCTACAGAAAAGCTAACCTGCTGTAACTGCACAGTGTGTGTGTTTGTATATTAGAGATCTCTGACAGACCTGTTTTTCTTTTTCTCTTTCTCTTCCTTGTCTTCTTTCTGCATTGGCAGAGCATCTTGGATTTGAATTAAAGGGTATGGAACAACCATTCATTTATTAATCAGAAGCCATTAAGAACTGCCCACATTATATTTATGGCTTTAATGGGATGATTAAAAAATCAGCTGTTCTGTTCTCTTCCCTGGCACCAAGATAGATGTTTGGATTGAAAAAAAAAAAAACCAAAACCAAAGCAAAACGCAAAATCTAAATGTAAACCTATAAAAATGCACGTGTATTTTTAGCAGCACTTTTTTCTTTGTTTCAAGCAGCAGCCTGGTGTGTGTGGTGTGACTGGGATGTTACAATTGCCATACGTCTCCTCATTCAACATGCTTTTGTGTATTTAACTGAAAAGCTGGAGTTTGTGTCCATCCAAAAGGTTGCCAGCAGGCACCACTTGGGAACGGGCAGGCATTCCAGTAACGGGAAGACAAGTTTAAGGAAGATCAGGGCTTTTATAGAAATTGCCATCCCAGACACACTAACCTCCGCTGGATCCTACAGACGGTCAGGACGAGCTTTGCCGTTCCTCCTCCCAAAGGTTAGCAGCTTATTTCGGTTCTTGACCGGGAGGAAATTGTTCCAAGAAAGGTGGCATGAGACGAGTTAGTCTAGAAAACAGTCAGCCCCGGGAAGTCAGTAGTATCCCATGAGAGTGGAGGGTGTAATGCTGAGCATCATGGTAGCAAGCTGAAGTTTGGAAAAACACTGCTTTTAAAAATATCCCCTTTGGGCAATCGCCTGCTCCTGCCCAGTTGCTCATAATCATATTATTTTTCTTCCATTCTCCTCAGTCTGTTTTTAGAAATATATGAAGTATCTCCTGAGTAAGCACCTGGGAAATCAAATCCTTGAGGCTAGGTTTCCCTTGAGTGTACAGGCCAACCGCAGGGAGGGCTTGGTCAGATGAGAGCAGAGAGATTTATCTTTATCACTTAACTTAAAAACATTGACCCGGCAATGTCAGTCAGAGCAGATCTTCACATGAAGATGCTTCAATTCCATTTGCTAGAGGTATGGGGACACCAATCTTTCACTTCTGGATCCTAAATTGTCTTCTTGGGTCCCTGAGGTGGAGGGACATGCACTAGCTGAAGCTGGAGAAACTTTTCTCCTCTGGTTTTTGCATGCCTGATCCACCAGGATTGGTGTGCATCCCCCAGCAGTTCTTCCCTGCTGCAGAAAATCTGTGCATTTTGTGGTCAGGTGTTTCAGAGAAAGTGGTGCTGCTAATGCTAATACACTTAATAAACTTTAAAATTGAGGATTTTTGACATCCCTTTTTTGTTGACCTTTTGTCCTTTTCCTCATCCATTCTCAATGTCATCACAGAACCGCACACATCCTGTTCCCAGTCTGCAGTCATCTCTTCTCTGTCATTCGTCTTTCACTTTCATGCGTTGCTGTGACACCCGTGGCTGGACTGTGATTCTCTCGGCATTATGTGGCACCACATGGTTTGTTCATAGTGTTTGCCGCTGTAGAGTGACGATGCTGCTGATGAAGATGTGGTGTTTGTAGAGCATAGAGACACAAATGGACAAGTCCTGCACCAGGATCTTACCTTCACAAATACAAAATCATAGTGCGCATTCTCTTATTTTCTTTCTGTTACTGTTGAGATGATTTTGTGCAACGCGAAGACACTGTGTTATCGAGCATCAACTTTAATGAGATGTTAGGAGCCAAGCTAAATTACTATCAGCAGGTCATTTAATTTTTAGTTTTGCAGCAGTGGCGCACAGCCTCACACTTCACTGCTTCACATAGCAGAGCTGTCAGCTCAAGACAGGCTAAATCTGCATTTCTGATGAACTGAAACATTCCCCATGCAATTCAGGTGAAGGTTCAGGACAGTCAGACATGCCAGAGTCAGGGTCCCATACTGACACGATCCCCAGAACAGAGGCTGTGATTTGAGCCTGGGGGAAAA